CCCTTCGGTTTGCGTGTCCCCTCGTGTGCATCGCCAGCAAGAGGAGCCCACGACGTGTCCTCCGGCCGCCGACTCCCACCGCATCCACCTGGGCGAGCGCTGAGGCGGCGGCGTTCGCAGCTGCTGCCGCCAAAGGTAGGCCTCGTCGTTCGCCGGAGTTTGTGTACAAACGCTTCTTGTTTGGTCGCTCAACTTGTGCAGAGCTCTACCTCACAGCCGAGTATGGCGCCCTCTTACTCAAAGCCCAGTACGGCACCTAATTTCTTTATATAATGTTTCAGGTCTACTTAGCGATTTGAACTTTATTAGGGGGCTACAACTTAGGGTACTCATCTCCAATACACAACAAAGCTCATTAATGACTGCATTGCTGCATTGGCATTGTCTAACAATGCTCTAAAGTCCTTTCGCGCCCGTTTGGCTGCAGTCCGCGTTCATTTTCCGCGATCGCTCATCGATGTTAAACAACTTGATCATTTTCGCTCACGTCGAGATCGGAAGTTAAATTGGATTATTTCATTTAAAGATTTTATCAATACCGCGATATCATTTAATTTAAAGATTTACTCAACCTCGAAATCATTTAAAGTTTTATCAACCGCGACTTATTACATCCTATTCTAAATTGCATAACTTAACGAAGACTTTGGAGAACATTCTTCCCTCCTCAAGGTCAGTCGTGTGTCCCATTAGAATGTCGTTCTGCTTTGTTTTGAGCCTAATTTCCTATAATTGTCCTATCGCCAGCCTGGCCCCCGCTGCTGTTTGCCTTCGTCTCGACTCGGACGCAGCCCTTTCTCAAGCTGCGAGCGAGCTGTCTGCTCGAGCCCGCCGCCTTGTGCTGCTGAGCTGTCTCCGCGTCTCGCACGCAGTCGCGGGGAAGGACTACCGCTGCCGCCGCCGCCCTTGCCGCAGTTTGACTTTATGGGACTACCGATCTACTGTTGCAGGTAATGTCACTCGTCTTATTTTGATTGTTTTGTGACTACACATGAGCTAATTAATTGTGTTGTGTTTATGTTCCAGCCGACATCTCAATTTTGCTGTGACGAGCCCCTTCCTGGACTCTGCTGCGTCGCTTA